CATCAGCATACATTAAACAATGTAGATCTTTGTCATTGACATTAACTGGGTCTCTAGTATCTGACAAATATCTGGGCAAATCATTTATGAATATCTTGAATAAATTCGGACTGAGGTTGTCACCTTGTTTGACTCCAATATCTAATGGGAAAAAATCACTTACTTGATTTTGAATTTTGACACATGATTTGCTAATTTCATACATACTTTTAATAATGTTATAAAAATAAGACCCAGCCCCAATATCTAGTAGTTTAATCTTGATCCCTGTATGTATAACAGTATCAAAAGCCTTCTGAAAATCAACAAAACAGGCAAACAGTCTACCTTCTTTTGAATTACAGTATTTGTTAATAAGACAGTTTAAAATAAACATATGATCTGCAGTTCTGGCTTTCCTTGTGAATCCAATTTGACTATCATGTATAATATTATGTTCCTGAAGAAATTTGTCCAGTCTTAGACTTAATATTCTATTAAAAAGCTTTCCAATTGCACTTGTTATTGTTATTCCTCTATAATTGTTAGGGTCACTTGTATCGTTGCTTTTAAAAATTGGTGTAATATAACCTTCAGCCCAAGATGTTGGGTATATACCTGAAGACAGACAAGTATTAAACATCTGTTGAAAACTTTTTAAAAGGAAAGTCTGTCCATTCTTTATCATATTATTACTAATGTTATCCAAGCCTGATGATTTATTGCATTTTAAGTGTGAAATGGCTTTGGATATTTCATTGTGTTATGGTCAATTTTGAGTTCTTGTCTTTCATTTTTGCTTATGTACTTTGTCTATATGCCATTTTGTGTTTCTTTGTAGAAACAGCTGTTTGTTTTTATAGTGATTAAGATTATATTACAATGTTTACTGCTGTACCCCAATTATTGACATTTTACCTATTATGTCTGTTTGTTTTGCTCAAACATTGTTGTCAATATAATGGAATTCTATGCGACTGTCGTACAAGTGAGAGGTTTAGCTAGCTATAAAACAGGTTTAATCCACCATTTTCTATATAAGGAAATGCATGTATCAAGTCAGGAATATGACAGTTGTTTTCCATTCATTTGATGTGTTTGAGCTTTTGATTTTGCCATTTTATAATTCCGTTTTGAATTTTCCTTGGAGTTCGGTATTTTTGTTATTTTAATGTGATATGAATATTTACCCGGCTTTGTACTAGACCGACACGCTGAGTAGGATTTTTTACGTGCTAGTTCACAAAGTATCAGTCCGCAGGAAGACATGTCACCTTACCCGGACACATTATTCTGACTCCGAGCCGACCAGCCTTTTCTCTTACTCCTAAATGCCGCGTGCTTAGCGGAGAAGCAGCAAATACCAATTTTAAAGTCTTTGGTTTGACACGGACGGGGTTCGAACCCTCAAATTTAAACAACTTTTTTTTTTCATAAAGCATTTAATTATTGGAGATGATTGACTTACAAAGCGTTAACTATGCACAATTTGTATAAAACGCGTTTACATCCCAATATGTCTTAAATAAACATGTTTTTATTTGTGCCGTTATGCAACTTTAAAGACAGAAAAAAAACAACAATAGGACGCCAACGGTGACCTTTTATTGAAAATGCATTAAATGTTTTATTTTTTACACATTACTTTTTCCAGTCGGTAAGCACTGCAAAGTGATAAAGGGATATGGTAAGCGTATCAATTATCATGAAATATACCAATCATACAACGATGGCGGCTCTTATTACAACGGATATCCGAGTACCAGTGGATTTCAACAATTTCCATCGTACGCAGGGAACTATTTTAACTACCAGAACAACCATCAAGTCGACAATACCTTATCAGCCGTTCCTGTCACAGCTGCTGGTGGCGCTGTTCCTTTAACATCTATGCTTACAGATCCAACTTCATCGATTGGCGGTTTTCCATCATATACAGACATCAAAAGACAGTATCATCAAAACAATAATGAAATTCCTAATAGCTTATCTGCCGTTCCGGGAACAAACATAGGTTTCGTTGCGCCATCGGTATCTGCTTTCAGCTCACCAGAATCGAACGCCGGATTTTTAGGAAACGACAATTCTTACCACTAAAATATTAGCTTGGCAATGTATGATTTCTAGTCATTATCATTAATTTAATTCAAAGTAAGTGTATGATTCTCATGATTCCTTTAATTCACATGTTCATATATCATATACTAGTATAAGCATTGTATATGTGACGTCTCGTATAATGTTGTAACTGATATGTTATATTTATTTTGTAATAAAAATTATTTTTTTATAAAGTTATCGATTGCTTGCCAAACAAAAAATTTAAAAAAGAAAAAGAAAATCAGAAAAGAGCGTCAATTTCGACTGTTTATCTTTACGGTATATCGCCACAGTGCCCAATTTGCATTCATTTTGCAAAAATAAGCAGCGGGAATCGTAAAGGTTTTCTTAGAAACAAAATAATTCGTATTTTTATAATTCATCATTATGCACGTCTTTTCACGTAGCTTAACATATTTAAATATATACAAAACAGTCACATTATATTTATATATCAACAGATTAATTATCCAGTGAAAAAATTAAAATCTACGGAAACCCACAAAAATATAAGAATAAGGAGATGTAGTATGATTGCTAATGTGACAACTATCCACCAGTGTTAAAATGAAGTGATAGTTAGCGTACGGCCTTCAACAATGAGAAAAACCCATACCGTATAGTCGGCTATAAAAAAGGCTCCGACATGAAAAATGCGAAACTATTCAATTTTTCAAAGTGAGCGATTAAAAAGTGTCACAGGCATCCATTTCTTACAAAAATGCAATGTAAGCATGGACTATTGTCCAATTGTTATAAAAATTTGGAGGAATAAAACAAAACATTAGTTATTAGATTTTTACGGATGTGAAGTTAAAAATGAATGCAATTTAGGTAATTCTCATTACAGAATCTTTGGTCGTTTTCAAGTCGGTTCAACTTCGTTTTTCTGTGATTCAGTATGGATTCAAAATTTAATTTGTGGAACAATATATTAAAGAAGGATACATCTACAAAATAAACAGAATAATACAGAATGAAAACTTTTGTATATTTCTTAAATAAACGTCGGTGCAATTTAGATACCCGACGTTAATAACAGCATGAGGTACTTAGGTATTAATTTTTTTAATATCTTTATATCGAGCGAAAGCGAAGTGTAAAATGTTTATAAATATAATGCCTATATCCATGTTAAAATTAGCAAAGCATGAAAAACTGAAAGAATAATTTCTATTCTAAGAGCATTGATACTTTGAAGCGGCAATGATTCTATTTTAATTCCTAGCGAATAATACAAATGTCCTTTGTGATCTCCGGCGTCGTTATGAATAACATCAATTGATTTGACTAGGGGAGATAGTTTTTTATAAAGATAAAAGATATGGTATGGTTGTCAATGGAACAACTAAACTAGAGACAAAATGATGTAGGTGTAAACAACTAGAGGTCACCACAAGGTCTTCATAAAAAAAATAAACCCTATCCCGTATAAATAGCTATTAAAGGATGACAAATTCTAAAACAATTAAAACGAGAGACAACCAATTGCCTGATTTATGTAGTAAATAACAAGGATGTAAGAGACCGTACCTGGGACAACAAAGTGTGAAAAAAATCAAATGGAGAAATCCAACGGCCTGGATTAAGCCTATTCTAATAAACAAAAATAAATATGATAGATAGCAACCAACAAATATCACTGAATTACAGGCTTCTGACTTCGGATAGGCTTATACAAAATGTTGCGGGGTAAACATGTTTACGAGCGCTTAACCCTCTCCTAACCTGGGGCAGTGGTGTTTCAACACAACATAAGGAACAAACATCAGCTGAAAGGGGCTTAGTTCTTCAGATAGACAGAAAAACATAAAAACAACAACTAACACACAGACTAAAGACACACAGTATTGACCTAAGATAACTCGCAGTTACTGAAAATCTAGCGCAAGGTCAATTACAACTAATAAGTTAATCATGCTTCCTAGACAAAAGTATCAATCAGTACTCATCCAATAAATTTAGTGGACAGACATCATAAAAAGTGTGAGAAAAGGCTGACATTTTGCAATGCTATGATATTTACAGGTTGTAGGACCGTAAGTGTTCATAGCTGAACAGCAACACACAGTCAGCTGTATTTTAATTTATTAACAACAAAATCAAAAGGTTTTAAGTTATTTGTGGTAACGAAATCCCTGACTAAAAAATTTACCAGTGATACATAAATTACGTTCAGTCAATAAAATTTCCCACATTGATATAATGCATTTTTTTTTTAATTTCTACTGGAACAATGGCTTTTAAATTTTCGGACAGGTAAGACTATAGATTAGAAAAGTTGCGAGTGAAAATTCTGGTAGCAACGGTTGGTTTCATTTATTGTCGCTGTTGTACACATGTATGCCAGTTTTGATCGATTTACTCAAAGCTCTACCATTCTAAGGAAAACGTCGATTTTATTATTCACTTGGTTCATATAACATATTAAGATGCTTTCGTAAGCAAATCTTGAAGCAGAAACTTTACATAGCAACATCTGAGTTCAACAAACTTCTCATCTAGCAATTTGCTATTTTTTCGAATGTCGGAGCTCCGCTTGACAGTCTCCCATTAAAAAATCATACAGTTCCGTTCCCACACTGTGATAAAAAGGTTTTTGAAGAAAGTTTACAAGTCTACTACAACCATCTAACACATTTTTATAGTGAAACATTCTGGAATAGTCAACGAAGCTATCGTTACAATGTATCACCTTCTTTTTATTTCTAATAGCATTTTTGTTTAACAATGTCTTAACGGTTTTTTTTTTTACAACCAATGCTTAGACAATTAAAATGATGGTTTATTGACAAAATAATATGTATATTATTGATCACTGGTCAAGTTTAATGTGTCCGTAGAAAAGAAGTGTCCATTTTTGATTGACAATTATTGCCCTTAGAAACCTTTCCATTTAGGCTCATTTACATTCCATATAAAAATCTTGCTTTTCTTTAATAATCTGCCACTAGACTTTATATCAAGTAGCCATCATAAAGGACAAACGGTAAGCATTATTACTATAGCATTTATAGTTTACATAAATAAACCTTTTTAAGCATTATTGGATTTTGTCCTGTATGCATACTTCAAGGAAACGTATAATGTTACTTCAAAATTATATATTCAGCAGTATTACCATATTTATAAAACCAGCAATAATCTTTAAAGTCAGAAGAAGTAATATATAATATTTACCCGGGTGGTAGTATATTACATAAAATGCTCCTTTTTAGTTTTATTGAATTACAGATCTGTTTCACCAGTGATGAGAACATTCAAAAGTAGACTTTTCCGGCCATGTTCATATTAACTCAAGTTTGGCTTTTACAGATCTTTATCAATAATTTTCACGTTTGAAAGAAATGCTCTCTTCTGATTATGGAGATTTTTATATTTGTTCTTTTAAAGTAACTTATGAGATTTGAACAGTTGAAAGTTTAACAATTATGTCTGGTGATTACTTAAATTTGATTTGAAGAAATCTTTACAAAAAACTTAGTTTTCCAAAGGCAGATGGCTTTCGATTTTGAAGTATAAATTGTCATTTTTGAGTTGTAGACTTTCAATTGTTGAAAAATAGCAACCACGAAGGCTTCATTTTTGTTGTTTTAAGAATCATGAGACATAAATCGTAAAAAAATCGACGATCTGAGTACTTTTTAAAGTTTTAATTTACTTCATTGTTATCTTAACATGACGTGTAGTTTCCGAGTGTTATAATATTCAAATCTGTCGATTAAGTTGGCGAAGTTGGTCCTCCACGGGAACATTTTACAGACTTAATCATGATTTTGTTGACTATTATGGAATACCTGTTTCAGAAATGACCACGGATATGAAATCGGGTCGTTAGTTTTCTCGTTTGAATTGATTTACATTTGTCTCATTGTTGAAGGTCGTAAGATTCAATGTTATGGTTGTCGTTCTGATATTGTTTTACATCTAATCTCCTTGTTTTATTAATTTTGTATTTACATTGTGTCATAGATCAAATCTATTCGTTCAGTGTATGTTCACTTGTTTTTGTTAATATGTCTTTTGATTCAGTTAAGCAATTTCAATTGATATTTTATAGTGTGTCTTTCTATGTTGTGATGTTACACTATTGTTTCGGGTAGGTTGAAGGTTGGCGCCTATTAAAATGTTTAAACCCGCTGCATTTGTTTGCCCCTGTCCTAAGTCAGGAACCTGATGTTCAGTGGTTGTCGTTTGTTGATGTGGTTCATAAGTGTTTCTCGTTTCTCGTTTTTTTATATAGATTAGACCGTTGGTTTTCCTGTTTGAATGGTTTTACACTAGTCATTTTTGGGGCCCTTTATAGCTTGCTGTTCGGTGTGAGCCAAGGCTCCGTGTTGAAGGCCGTACTTTGACCTATCATGAATGGTTAACTTTTACAAATTGTGACTTGGATGGAGAGTTGACTCATTGGCACTCATACCACATCTTCTTATATCTATATACTTGTTGACTTCTACGTCATTTGGTCTCTGGTGGAGACTTGTCTATTGGCAATCATATTACAACTTTTTTTATTTTTTATATCTTCACTTTATGGTAGCCATAATACCACCTCCTTTCCTCGTTTATGACATAACAACTGAGTTCACTCTCAGTTTTTGTAGGAGTCTGTATTATTCATTCCTTATTTTTGTTTGGCTTTTTTTCTTTTTGCCATGGCATCGCCAGTCTTTCGTAGACTTATGGGTTTAGGTTAACCCTTGATACCTCCTTACTTTTCTCATAAGCTGCGATCTAAAGACAGTTAGGTGTCTCGATTGACAGTTATAATATCTCGGCTCTTGTAGACGACACTCCATGTACCTCGTATTCTTATGAAATCGAGATTTTACCATTGTATAAACTGGTTTTTCGATAAATCGAGATTTTACTATTGTATAAAATTCTGCAAAAGGCGTCTCAAATTTGAATGGATATAATACTTTCATTATAAAATGTTTACAACAGGTCGGCAAGAATTAAAATTTGGGCTAAACTTGTACTATATTTAATTATTGAAGTATGTTTCAACATGCAGGAATTTTATTAATGGTGTTAAAAGTGGTACTCAGATCAATCTGTATATGATAATTTATGTATACATCATAGAAGTTTAAAGATATAACAGAGAATCAATCTTCAATCTTTTTGGCTTATCTAGACTTAATATAAAGGTTATATTTCTATTATTGTCATGAAATCATTGCGTCATTTATATTTGAAGATTACTGCACAGTTCGAAGCAAGACTGAAATATTTCTGATAGTTTCTTGGCTGATCGAAATTCTACAATCATATTTATTTGAGACCTCGCTAATCTTTGTTAAATTTTGTCGGTGGAGAGTGGAGACGAAAAAGTTTAGAAACGTCATAAAATCAGTTTTGTCCACTTAATATGAGGTGACCATCGGGGAACATTTTTTAAAACAAAATTCTTATAGATTTCCGTCAAAACACATAAGACTTTATTATTTTGATTTTGCATTTGAAATAAAAATATGTTGACTAATGTGTTTTGACGGAAATTTATAGGAATGTTGTTTTAAAAATGTCTACATATCTATCAGTATATATATAGAGTACTACCGTAGCAATCATTATTTTTAGAATATTATTTTGTTATTTTTGGGAAGTGTTTGATAAGGCACTCTCACAAAATAAACCGTAAGGTGTTATTGTATTTATTTCACAGTGTGTGGTGCCATATCTAATCTCCCGACAAACTCATTCCACCCATAACTAAATTGCACAACTATATTGCACAAAAACGTAAATGTAACCCTTCGGAATCCTGTTTTATTGAAATTTTATTTTTATTTAATTCGGTCATATATGAGAAAAGTCATATATAAATTAAAAGTGGAAAGAAATATGCTTAACATAACCCTAGGAAACTGTCTGCAAGATGAAGAAAAACTAAGGACGTTTATTGAACTCATATGTGAAAATTGCAGTTGCCATACAGCATTTTATCGATATTGTTGTGCTATAGGAGCAATAACGATTTGTGACAGAATGTAATTTTTATCTTTTTCAGAGAAAATGAAGACCTTATTGGTAGTTCTGTTGGCTTCTGTGGTCCTCCTTGGTATGACGTCAGCACAGAGTTTTAATCTTTTCCCTACCTTAGCCTCATCGACAGCGGGTGGTCTTTTAACTTTAGGAGCATTTGGATTACCATTTCTCCTTGCAAATGGAGGTGGTAATCTCTTTGGAGGAGGAGGAGGTGGTAATTTCTTTGGAGGAGGGGGAAGAGGACCACCAGTGAACTTTCAGCCACTTAATATACCACCATTTCCTCAACCATTCATTGGGCGATTTCCACCAAGGCATTGGTATGTGTTTAATCATTTTAAATAACTTAATAATTTATTTAAATCGTATAGGCCGTGTATTCGAGGTATTTGTTTCACGGTTAAATTGGTGGTTAAAGGTAGTTGGAATAACAATCTACAAAAAGACAAGTCGACAAAAAGCAGTTTCCCCTTGTGGAAACAAATCATCAGGCCTTGCAGTCATAAACATTTCGAGTACTTAGACTGAGAATTCAACCAATCAAAATGCTGGATTTGGTGTTTCGAGCACAAATTTTGTACTCCTAGTACTTTTTATGACCGAGAGCCAAGTATTTCCGCAAGTTGACCACTTTAATATGCAAGAGCTTTATTGGAGCATGATTTGTGTAGGGAATTATCAGCTTGATTAGAATAAAACATGCAGAGATGAAATCTATAACAAAAGAGTTTCAATGTGGTGGTTTTGCTACATGACAAAGAAGTTCTACATTCTGAAATTAAAGACATTTTATTTGGATTTTGACCTTTTCATGTTATCGGTACTTCGAAGCCCTTAAAAAAATACGAAAAAAGAAATATACTAAAATGTTAAGAACATTTGACGCAGACCTATTATGTTTGATTCGAAACAAACGGATGTCTTTTTGTAGGAGTAACATGTCTTTTGGTGTTAAACTAATTTTGTATTAAGATGTAACTTCAAAGGAGTAAGTTCACGAAGGGTTAAGAATGGCCCTAAGATTTTGATGTTTTTTTCATCAGGCCATAATACTACAAATTTCACATAGAAATAGTTATGGTATAACTATTAATACAAAATAACTTCATTTTGGCACATCATCTTAAAAATGACGAAGTATTGACTCTTTAAGTATGCATTTTTTTAGTTGTAACGTCCGTTTTGGTCAAATTTTCAATAATTCTAAACGGTTTTTAGCATAATTTACGTTGGCCGCGACCCAAGATCCAGAAAGTTTTTGTGTCTAGGGATTCAGTATCATCATTGGCAACTATTGGTTACAGAACATTTTGGATCCTAGGTTGCGGCCAAAGGTTTCCTCAAGCTTTTAGGTCCGAAAAATGCACAAAATCATCACATTTTGACAATATATCCAATGTGTTCTGATTTTTAAGCCAAAAATGTACTCTTATGAAGAGATTTCTTTTAACAAAGTAGTAAATCTTTTGAAATAGATCCATTTAAGAACCAAATTATGGCCATTTTGAAATTTTATGGTAAAGTTAAAATTCAAAATACAAAGCCATATTTGGCCTAAAGGGAACCTTTTCCTTTGTACATGACATAGCAATGTTGTTTTTTTTGTGTGTAATGAATTGGAATCTTTGAATAGGAATAGATTACTTAAGCAGTATTTGACAAAACAATTTTGGAATTTTGGGTCCTCAATGCTCTTCAGCATCGTGCTTTATTTGACCTTCTAAACTTTTTGGATTCTAGCGTCACTGATGAGAATGACCGTTTTCAATCTGGAAGTAGTATTTTTTAAACATATTTTTATGAGACCTGTACAACCATAAAACATGTATTTATAATATCTCACCCACACACATACACACACACAAAACGATTTTACTCAGACTGGCTCTTTCTTTTTACATTTTACAACAACCGAAATTAAAACCCTCACTTGCTATGGAGTTTACAAAATCGTACATAAGTGGTACACGGTATACCAATAGTTATACCAAGTATTCACTAAAATTAAAGGTATCATACATTTGGTTTTATTTCATATTTATGTCCTTGTTATCATAAATTTTTTCTATGATAAAATGTTATTTTTGTTCTTTCAGGTAATTTGGAAGTCCTGCTAAATTGATATATGGAATATGTGCTGAAATTCGTGCTGTCAGTTTATTGTTATGTTAGTTTGTCTATTTTTTTTTATTAAAAATTAATTAAAATAAAAACCCTTAGACTTTTTTTTACAGAATCAGAATAATTTATTATAGTGACACATACCAATAAAACACACTGAATACATAACTACATAATATGCAATTAAAAATTAAATATTACAATTAAAATATTGGTACTCAGCCAAATTACTGACTTATGAGACACTTTAATCAAAGTACTGAAGTACTGAACATCGGAAGTCTGCAAGTTCTTGCGGATGGTCACAAGCACTTGTCTCAGAAAAAAAATCACATCTCTATACCTGAAAGTGAGGTTAATATACAGATATCATTTTTTTTTCTCAAACAAGTTCGTGCGTGGATGACAAATAAATGACAGGGAATTCAACCTCACCGTAATAAATATGATATTGAAGTCAAGTGATACAAATCAGTATACTCTGGTTTGTTGTTATATATTATATTAATATTTGTATATTACAGTTACATGTATATATAATTTTCATCCATTTGTATATCATTCTATTCTACTATATTAATAATAGTGCAGTGCAAGTGCATGGTGGACACTCTTCTGTAATAATTCGATTTTTCTAATAGATTGGATTTTAGTAGGCATTCATATTTTCCCGCCAAACTTTCAATCTCCCATGCAGAGTTATCGGTCCTTGAGAGAGAGCGAGGGCCGATAACTTTGCATGGGAGATTGCAAACGTTCTCGAGATATTCTTCCGCATGCGTTAACACGCATTTTCTGTACGTGTGCATAGATATTAAAGATTTTTACTTATTTATATATATATATATATATTTCTAACAACAAAACATTTTCATATTAATAATTTATGTTCTAAAAAAATATTTTTAGGAGTATCCATTGAAAAAATGAATTTATAACAAGCGATAAAGAATGTTATTTTGCACTCGATAATGTCCGCGTATTTATCATGTTTATAGATCGGTTACAATCCCAACACGAAAGTTACGTAATGGAAATCTAGGTGACAGCAATACACCGGAATGCCCTCACGGTCATCCGATGTAAAAATGACACTTACTATAAACAATAAAAACTTATGCATTAAAAATATCTTTACACACAATACCTTCTTCGATGAAACATGTGATGTAAAGTTTTTGCTAAAAATGGTTGAATTGCATCATTTGACATTAAGACAATAAATAAAAAATAAGGAACGCTTCACGAATTTGTGTGTCATCCTTGCGCAGGATCAAATTGATTACGACCTTGTAGCCAATCAAGTGTAGTCAAACGTAAACTTATGACATTTAAGTCAATGTAATATAATGTTCGTCATGGTGGAAACAGATAGTTCTGAATCCTGCGAACCTCAGATTTATTGATTTTATTATTCAACTGATAGGATTCGATTTTTCGAATAGGTATTCTTTTGATCCTCAAAGAGGATTTGTGTTAAAAATGCTTGTCTCTAACAAATAAGGAATGTACTGTTCCTAATTATACACATCTTCTGACGTCATTATTGAATATGTATATGAAACAAGTTATATTTACAGTAATATTTAGGATCTTTTACTGATTAACAAGGCAGGGGCGCGCATGCGACGAGAATATTTCCACGCCCCCTGCTTTGTAAGTCAGTTACAAATCCAAAGAAGTACTTCAACTGTAAATATAACTTGTTGTATCTGTATTTTTTGGTCAATGAAATTTGACGTCATAGTTTGTTTGTCTGTCATTACTTTTTAATTAATGTTATTGCTGAATGAACAATGCCAATCTTAACTGCAGTTCAGTGTATGAAGGTGAGACCAACTCTCAATGGTATCCTATCACATTTTCTTTTGAAAAATAGTTTGTTGTACGGTGATGTTGTACAATGTAAATACAATTTCCATAGTTTTATGACATTGTTTGTAAACACCAGGAGGTGTGGTATGATTGCTAATGAGGCAACTATCTACCAGAGACATAATGACGTGCGTGTAAGCAACTACAGGTGACCGTAAGGCCTTCAATAATGAGCAAAACCCATACCGTATAGTAAAAGACTATTTTCGTAATGTTTGACTTCTGATTCAAAGTAGCAATGGTTTTTACAATGAGCTCTGTAACCGCTGAGATGAAATTGAGTGCTTTTCATGCATATTCAAACCAGAACAAATTAAACAATTTTAAACCATTTATATAGGTTCTTAAAAGTGTGTTGACCATGATGAGCAGCGAGAAAGTTTTGATTGCAACTTTAAAAAAAATTAATTAAGATAAAAACTGGCATTTTAGCAATAGGTCACCCACGCACCCCTAAAAGGGAATTGAAAATATGCTTTTAACTGTATAGAGCATTACACTCTCCAAACGAGGGACCTCAGATTTAACGTCTGAATTTCAACAGGACCTTGCTACATATTAATACAACTTGCAGAACTAAACATACTCCATCCATGACCTCAGCACAGGACTTACTGTCAGTCTGGGAAAATGACGATAATTCTATACCCGAGTCAATCTGAGTTCAGCTCTTCAGATTTCCAAAGTTTTGGCCTAAAGCATCACACAAAAGTCATCAATTTTATCTTAATGTAACTACCACCAAAGAATATTAATATTTTGGACAAAGGAGTGAAGTTTGAAAAAAAGGAGAGGAAATGATTAGGTCTTTTTGTTCCTTTGAAATTAAAAATAAAGAAGTATTATAAATATATAAAAAAAAAAAAATACCGATTTTTAATTGATATTTGTCTTTCAGGTATCAATATCAAACTTGTTTATTTTGTCTTATTTATTTCCTTTATTGTTTCATGTCTCTTTCTAAGGTTTCCAAATGAGACTCATTTTGAGATCTTTTCAATTAATGATTCGATACGCTAAAGATATTTTTCTGTAAGATGTCTTATACATAATAGTAGATGTTGGTATGGGTAGGCTACCGTTTTGGTAACATTATGTAACTCTTATGAACTTCCCAAAGCTAAAAGCTACCTGAAAATTGCCATTTAATGAAGTAAATTATGTTAATTCAACCCGTTTATGAATTATTGCAACATTTAACATTCCTGTACTTATATAGAAGAATATATCATCATATCATTTACCAATGAACTTCACTTTTTAAAAAGATAGAAGTATTTTCCAACATGCAATACCAGGGGCTAAAGAATGAATCTTACCATTAAAGTGCTTAAAATTTAAATACAGATACATGATAATGTATTAGATGTTTTGGCTTTGAACTAGCTTTCAGTACCCGCGAGTACTTTCAGATCTGCACTTATGTGTCTTTTGTGAGTTTTTTTTTTAGGGTTTGTTTGTGCTTTTTATCGATTTGATGAGTTAACCCTTTCAACAGCTTTTGATAGTTTGTTCTGATGTTGTACCTTTACATCACTGTCCCATGTTAGGGGAGAGTTTAGCGCCAGCAAACATGTTTCACCCCGCCACATTCTGTATGTGCCTGTCCCAAGTCAGGAGCCTGTAATTCGGTGGTTGTCATTTGTTGTTGTATATCTAATTCAGTGGTTGTCGTTTGTTGCTGTATATCATATTTATTTTTCGTTTATTGTTTTGTATATAAATCAGTCCGTTAGTTTTCTCGTTTGAACTGTTTTAAATTTGTCATTTCGGGGACTTTTTGTTTTAGCTAAACTATGCGATGTGGGTTTTGTTCATTGTTGAAGGCCGTGCGGTGACCTATAGTTAACTTCTACGTTATTTGGTTTCTGGTAGAGAGTTGTCTCATTGGCAATAATACCACAGCACCTTATTTTTATATTATATAGCTCTGATTTCTTAGTCGGCTTCATATATGCTTTTTGGTATCTTTTGAATGTTTTATCTTTTCAATATTCAAAAAAAGTAAGAACATACCTATGAAAAAAAAAACGGATGTCGAGGGAAAACTTAAACACCTTAGTCAAGATGACCGTTCACGCTACACTTCCCAGAAAAATAAAGATTGAGCAACAAGGGCCTCATCAAAATTAGAGGTTAACTACGGGACTCCAAAATGATGAGCAGTTCCTGTCCCCCTAGTGGCACCCAATTTGTAGTCTGTGACCAGTAAATATCCGGTAATAAGTCGCATTCGGTTTTTGTTTTTAAAGAAAGGAAATATTTACGACTAATTGGACATATTCGTTGTTTTCTGTGAAACAGAGATTCCACAACGGTACACCAAAGCATCGTGTCATCCGTTAAACATAAGAAAAGATTGCTTTATCTATGCCATTAAGAACCATTTTTCATAACAATCCTCTGTCAAAAACCCTGACAGGAAACATGACTCCAATAATGAATTTTAACTAAGAGATATATTATCCAAGTGCTGGTTCTAATGGAACGTATAAATAAGCAAGTCTGGGAATAAGGAGCACAATTGGTTATCACTGGAGGGACGACTGTCTGTTTCAAAGACACGTCCAACAAACGCAACAAATGTGTTGTCAATCAAACAGTCAAGTATATTGATGATGTCCGTTTCTGAGAACTTTCGGTCAAAATCAGTTCTTTTTACAACTATGAATAAAAGGATATGAGGGGTATACGTCAATGGGACAGCAACCCATCGACACAAATGACCGAAAGATATCTAGAGCTCAACATAATTTTTACAACAATTGACAGCTGTTTATACAATATGTATAGCTCGATACTGCTTTCAGTAGAAAAAAGTTAAAATATATACGAAGTCTATCACAGATCTGCCTTCAATACCAAATTCTCTAAATAAAAAAGAAAATTTAATAAGACAACCACTGGCGAGGTTCCAAACGTTGTTTTTTTTTATTCAGATCGCAATCCTCCTTTCTGCGAACCTCGATCAGTTGACAAACAAAATTTACTTAAAAAGCATACAATAAACATAGTAAGAAACCACGCCTCACTCCAAAGACACGATAGAATATAACAAAAACAAAGCACAAACAAAACACTATAATAAGTTAGCGTATAAAAGAATGCCCTCAGTTACCGAAAGCAAGCTCAAATTACTTAACCTACTGATTGAAATGATGCTGTCATACACTCTTATATCTTCGTTGGCTGTTCTTCACAGGAG